TTTTAAATTGTGTGTTTTTTGTACACAAAAACAAGATCTTCAACTTAGTATTATTTGTTTGAATATTTCCATCGATTTTGTTAGGACTGCAACTGGTCAGTCTCTAATTGGCATATGTGCATACTGTGCGTATTGCCTCGATATACCTTAATTCACAAGCTGTTGTATCCCGAAGAGAATTACGAATGGTAACTTTTGAGGAATATTTATTAGTTAATATAATGTGTATATTTCCTATTGTAATTAGCATAATCATATTCGTTCCTATTATCATTAACTTTATTTTGACCTTTGAACTATTATTATACGATCCTTGAGTTATTATCAGTTTGTTGATTACTATTCACAGCCACATTCGGCTAAATACTGTACGAATGTTATTATCTATTTTATGGGTCGATATGGTTTGTTTAGTTGGTATATAAACTCAGTATGTTTGAAATACAATGATTCATACCACTGAGGCTGTTATCGGTGTTTTGGATTTAACTGGTTGGGCTAGGCGGATCGCAGGACCGGTTAGCACTGTAGACTGCTCGTACGGTTTCGTGTGTCACTGTTCCAATCAAATGTTCGCTGCTCCCTGATTGGCGGTCTCATCACCTCACACATCAACTAGGCATCCACTCGACCACAAGATATAACACAAGCATGGTTAGCAGAGATGGATAGTGGCTAGCAGTGGAGTCCAGGACGCGCGTTTCGTCCTATTTGGGACTCGTCAGCTGGATGTAGCTGCATCTCAGAGTTGATGTTCACTCTGTGACTCGAACCCAGTACCCTCGCTTCAAACGCCATCGCGTTATCTACTCGGCCATTGAGTCCTGATAACCATCTCTGCTAACCATGCTTGTGAATTAAGGTATATCGAGGCAATACGCACGGTATGCACATATGCCAATTAGAGACTGACCAGTTGCAGTCCTAACAAAATCGATGGAAATATTCAAACAATCAATACTAAGTGAATTTAAACTTCACTCCATTGCACAAGAAAGTGACTATCAGGACTCAGTAGCTAAGTGGATAAGGCGATGGCATTTGAAGCGGACGGTGCTGGGTCCGAGTCCTAGAGTGAACATCAACTCTGAGATGCAGCTACATCCAGCTGACGAGTCCCAAATAGGACGAAACGCACGTCCTGGATTCCACTGCTAGCCACTATCCATCTCTGCTTAAAACAGGATCTGTTTAAATTTATGGAGAGGTAAATGCAGAAGTTCAAGATTTTCACATATGATTTCTACCGTTTAATCCGAGGGGGTGTTTGTGAAGAGCGATGAGACATATCACTCCAGACGTTTAGATTGAAAGTATACAAGGAATTTACACTCAGCATCTTCATTGGATTGGATAATAAAAACAGACGGTCTCGTTGCAATGTCTTGGGGTTTTCCAGAAGTTTGCGCATAAATGTTACTGCACCCTACATTCCTTGAAATATACCAAAAATTCCGAAGACACTCCTACGGTAGATCAATTAGGAGGTTCACACCCCTCTCGAATGTTAAACTGATTGTGCAAGAGATTCAAGTTACTGGATACCGTCGAACCAAAAATTCAATAATGGAAAGCCTGAATCATCTGTGCCTCGAGTCTCTGAAAGCCTGGAAGCTTGTATGTAGGAAAGCTCCTTCAAGATTCTATAGAAAACTATAAACGCTTATATTCGTACATAAAGCAAAGGCTTAAGAGGATTATGGGGATTAGGGGGAAACCTTAAACAAACCTTACAGAATAATCACTTGTGCTAATTTAAAGTTTTTGGTCAAGTGTGAAGAATTCTTGATTTTAATTAACATTTCTGTAGTCGTTTTGTCTGGTAAACGGTTTGAAGCTATGAGCGGGGACTCATTATCAAGATAAACTGGTCTATCTATGTCTGTTGCATCTGTGTTTACACGTTTTTGTTTAGCAAAGTACTAGGAATTTATCAGGATCACTTTAAAGGGACATTCAAATGCAGGGCTAGGTAGTACTTTTATATGACAAACCTCATTCAGGCGTGCGTGTTGGAGTTCAGATCTCTGTGTGTATGTGTGACTCATGACCATTCATGTATAATAGCTGGTTTAAGTTTGGATATTTCATGTTGGTCTACGCAAGTTTCTAATTGAAGCTTTTTAATTTAAATATAAGGATTGCTAAGCCCTCCTGGTACTTTTTGAGAGTTCTTGAGGAGCGGTTCTGTTGCTGAACACAATGACTCAGCTTTGACGGTTGTTCTTACTCTTGACATAACTGACGGAAAGAATTCTGTACACTGGAAGGGGTTTGAACGTGATATTATAGCAACTTTTAACAGATGATGGCTGAAGAAGTGGCTTACACTGAGTCACGAAACGTCAGAAAATCTAATTTTTCTACTCATTGGGATATTACAAATATATAATTTATTTAAAACAATCTACCCAATGCTCAATTTATTCAAAATTAGCAGATGATGGTAACGTTTCGCCAACACATTCGCCCGAGGATATGATGTGGAACGTAACCCGTTGGGACCAAGAAGCTTCGTTAAATTGTTAAACTGCTCAGATTCAAGCTAATATCCGGAAGAGTATAGCTCATAGTCGACAATATACTGCATAAAAGAAACATATTTCCTAAATCATACAGGTTCAACAGAAGTGACTTGATCGCAATTTCTAAATCCTTGCAGGCTGACTACCCACTTCTCCATCTCATTGCCTTAACACGTGATTAAAACCCTACCTGTCGACACACTCAAGAACAGATTGTGTAGCACTAGCAACACAGTAAGGCAGGACTGAGTTTTGATTTAAAACTACTGAATGATTTGTTGGTTCACTGCCTTTAATTGGGCAGTTACGTTTTGTTAGATGTTGATTGAGTAGAGTATTTATACACTCTTCATTGTTCATCAATAAGATAAATAGGTTTGTGAACCTATATTAATGCTGACAGATTTCTTTATAGTGGAGGTCCAGTTTCTCCTTGAAAACGTTCTCTGATGAGGCTGATACCACTTGTTCGGGTTAGGCGTTCCAGTCATTGACTAATCGATGAAAAAACGGTACCCTCACAGTAAGCTTATTAGATCGCGATTTGTAAACCTTCGTGCTATGACCTCCAAGATTATCAGTGCTGAAGAGAGCGAAATGATAAGACATATTAACACTTAAATCGTAATTAAAGATACGAAATGCCAGTACAAGATCACCTCATGTCCTACGATACGACAAGGGAGAAAGGTTTAGGCATTTTAAACGCTCACCGTCTCCACACGCTGGACACGCTTAAATGAGTCAGTATCCTTTATCAGACATGGAATAGCTGATTGGATACTATACTCTAAGTGTGATCTTACACAGGTGGGATAAAAAAAACCGGAATACCTCCTCGTCAAAGCATTTGAATGGTCGGCGAAGTGACCACAACGCACGATTATTTTTGGTAGCATATGCGTCACAGTGCATAGTTGTTCTCAAGTCATGACTTATTATTACTCCCCAGTCTCTATGTTCTTGAAAGCGTGAAAGAGATGTACCGTCACTGGTATCATGGTAACTATTGCCGTGTGCGATGTGCATGAGCATGCTTTTCGCAGAATTAACTTCTGAGCTCCAACCACAAGTTATCAATAGGAGAACAATTTCCTTAGTCATATGCACAGATCCCACGGCGGGTATCTCGGTGTGATTGAGACAGATATTTGTAACAATACACGTGTAGACTTCATTAAAATAGTTTTAAAAGTCTCAGCTTTTGCCCGATCTGATTCAGCTAGTAAATCTGGATTTTCATGTAACGCTAACGGGGGATACCTTTATCACAATTCCTTCTCCATTTAATGAACGAAAACGATCGTTTCGGAAAAGTAGGGCTATCATATGCCAACTGTCGTTCGCAACTAGTAAGAGATTTAGCTATGGTCATTTTAAATATATTCCGGATTCTTTAATATCCATACTTAAATGATACATGTCTTGTCGGCAAAAGTACGTCTTAAAAGTGTTTCCTACGCTTCAACAGCTTCCGGGTTTCCCTAGTAATCAATGGAGGGCGATTTGATAGCTTACATGTTGACCATGGTATAAAAGGTGATGTCGCGGACTCGAAAGTAGCCTTAAACCTATTCCATTCATCTTCGAAATTCCAGTCAATCGAGATAGCACAGTCTCTGATTGCCGGATTACTAGCTCTCCAGATATTGAGACGGGGTGAAGCAGATACAAATTGTATACTGAAAGTAAATTACAATGTGACCACTATTCACTGGTAGTGGAAGGTGCTGAATGTCGATGACATCATCGCGATGGTGTGTAAAGACAAGGTCCAGCAATGACGATTGATGTTCCCAGTCTGTGTAGGTTTTGCTGTATATATTGTACAAGTGCACAATGAATAATGGTTGATAGGTCAATATCGAGATACCCACCTGAAGCTGTAAGCTCTATCCAGTTGATATTTTGCGCGTCGAAGTCTCGAAAGATGAAGCAACATTCTGCCTTACTCCAAGAACAGATGTGTCTTAAGATAAAGTCGTCAGCAAGACAAGAATAATGATATATTCCTCCTTTAGTCACTGTTTGTTTTCTAGAGCTAATCCTACAACATGCTTCCTCACACGTAACGCTAAAATGCGCCTCTGATATGATTGTATGTGAAAGTTATCCCTAACACATAAAATTATGCCTCCTCCCTTGCAACTCATAACTCTATCACTTCTAATACTGATGTAGCCTGGAATGATGGGAGAGCAGTCAATATCTACGGTGGGCCTAGTTTCTGTGACAACAACTACACCAGGACTTAATTCATCCACCATCAAACCTAGCTCGAACATTTCATTCCAAAAACTACGGACATTCGTGTAGCACACATTTAAGGTGTTTTGGGAACCATACGTTCTACCCATACAAGTCTAGGAAGCATTGGCTTCCAAGACCGGACTACCCGAAAATTATTGATCATTGGGTTGGTTTTGACATTTAGCTTTGAGTTCTTAATTCTGTGACTTGATTTGATCATCAGGCGAATATTTGAATCACGAGTTTCGTGTTGGTTAATCAATGTTACGCCTCTTTCTTCAAACTTCGTCATGGGATTTACTCCGACGGCAATTCCAGCCATTATACTTAGATTCGCTGAGACGCTACAACACCCTTGTCGTACACTCACCATCCGTCTTCTTGTTCATTATGATCTGAAATTGGATATTGCCTTCAAACCTGTAACACCGCACATTTTAAAAGGCGTCATCTATTATCGTTTGAAGTGGGTATCACTGACTTGTTACGTCTAATAGAAATGTTAAGTCTAGAATGCCTTCTACATGAACATAGCAATGTTTATGAGGTCATTACTTTCTGTTGAGTAATTTTCACTATGACCAAATATGATTTGTATTTCGAATCTATCGGTTGACAGCTCTCATCCGAAAGGTTCGAAATAGCAAGCTTTCAGAAAATATAATAATAGTATCAGACCTTATAAAATATCAGTCACGATCTTTCAAGAATACAGATTAAACTTGTACGACTACTACACCTGAACTAATGAAAAGGAGTGCAGTTGAGCCTGTCAACCGCTTCACTTAGCTTGGAAGTCTCACTAACCTTTGTGATCTGGTGTGTGACGAAATCACAGCACGGATACAGAAGGCTTTTGCCAACTTGAGTCATTTATGGAGTAGGCGGGATACCCGTCTACCAACCAAAGGACGGATTTACTGCACAACATTTCATCTCGTCCTACTTTATGACAGTGAAACATGATCGGCAAGAGTAGAGGATAGTCGTAGGCTACAGGATTTCGATCATAGGTGTCTTTGAAGCATTGCTCGTATATACTGGGACCACCGGGTAAGTAATGCGGTTGTTAGGAAAAGGGTATTAGGTAAGGATGGCAAGTCGATTGGTGAAGTAGCGAAACTTCGTCAGTTGAGATGGCTGGGACACGTGTTACGTATGCCCAACCACCGACTGCTCGACGTGCAATGTTTTATGGTATAGGAGTAGGTTGGAGGAACGCTAGGGCGGCCAGACCAAAACATGGCACAAATCCTTGAAGTCACTGACAAGTGGACTGAACCATGTTGGTAGGTTTAGACTACATGGTTGGGATTCGTGAGATGATAGCAATCGATGGTTAGAGACCTTGAATGACATGGCTCAGAATCATTTGCAATGGCCAAAGTGCATCCACTCTTTGTGTTCTACCGAATTCTAATCTTCTGAATTCTTCATGTCTCTATCTTTCTTCTCTTCCCAAATTTATTTCACTGGATTATACTCTTTGAATAACATCTTCAAACCCTAATCTTTCCGATTACTGATTATACTCCTACTACTTTTACCACTATGGGATTTGAATCGACAACTGCATTTCTGTGCTAATGTGGTATGTCAACTTTAACTGATGCGCGTACGTACGTACGAAGTTCTATGTTGTTGCTGACTGGTTTTAAAGAATACTGTACACACCTTATTATAGAAAGGTTTACCTCTGATATTTTTCGAGGGTGGTTGTATTCGGTTGGAAGTGGTTATGCATGATTAATTGATACTGACTTAGTGTCTGGAAGTGCAAATTTTGTTATCACATAGGTATTACTAAGGATGGCCAAAATAAAATCCCACTTCAAATACATCTCAGTCGAAGCATAACGGCTATCGTAATGTCCGTCGATTTAAGTCCAAATCTTGGAATAATAACTGTAAAATACAGTTAAAAGTACAAACGCATAAAACAACATTGAAATTAATAACTTATAATGCTGTTTTTTAACGAAAATAACCTACGTAATTGGATAAGTTCCAAAATAATGGTGGTGATCGTCTATTAATTTATTATTTTACGCAAAATTTAGCGTTGCAGATGAAGAGTTCGCAAAACAACGAAACGTATAGCGAATTCTTGGCAAATATTTCACTAGTGGTTGCAAAAGTGTCAGTGGCAGTTTATCTTGTCAGACAAACACCATCGAGTATTTCAAGCTATGATTTTGTCAGATTCCTTCAGAATCAGTACATGAGAAGGGAGGAGGAAAAAGAAGCACTTATTAATTTTTATTTCTTAAATGAAAAGCAGCAAAATGATCACAATTCAAATTGCGAAGTCAGCTTCAAAGTGAGAACTAGAACAACAGGTGATATTTTGATTTTCCAATTGTACACTTTTATTTTGTTTTTTGTGCAGACCTCAGCACCTATACAGCTTTTAATTCAAGTCAGCTAAAGATGACTAAATTCAATCTGCAGAACACAATGGTACTTTCTACAAATCAAACAGTTAATCAATTGAAATATTATTTACAAGAAATTTTATCCTCATCCTACAATATCCTTTTTCATGCTTTTAGAAAAAATTGTACGGAAGGATTGGTTCCTTCAAGGAAACTGAATACCTTCATTAGTATGAAACAAGATGCAGAATTTACATTTTGTTTATGGATTAACAAAACAATGGAGCTGTTAAACGAAAACCCGGAGAGTCTAATTCAATGTCTTGATCTTTTAAGAAGATTTTTTATTTCCAAGGATGTGTCTTCAGACTCAGACAGTAATCTTTGGGATTCAACAATACTTGAATTAAATTTAATCCTTTCCAGTTCGTTCAAAGCGCATCTAAACACACTGTATCGTACTAGTATTGTCCAATTTACCACTGAGTTTATAGATGATGTATTAAAAATGCTCTGTGAAAAATTTCAGACATTAGTTTCAAATCATGGAAAAACACTCTTTCTTCAAGCTAGCAGGTGTGCCCATATAATATGGCTCTCCATAAATCTTTTAAAATCTTTTGATGATGATGATCAAATTTTCGACAGAATACAAGCTTTTCGGTGGGTACAGATTTTAGACAGATGGCTTGAATCACAACAACTATCCACTAATCAAGCAGAAAGGTTTCCAATGGTTCAACTTACTGGATTGATGTTTACTATATTTGTTTTAAAAAATAAAATTATCAGGCTTATTGAAAAGTTTTAACAGACAATAATACTAGAGCACATAATGTTCATTTGATTAGTTAACTTCGTTAAATATTTAGTAGTGAAATAAAATAAATTCACATTTTTATAAAGATAATATTTAGATCACTCATGAATGATTTGTTTTTTCAAGTAATATCTGTTGCTTATCAGTAAGTGTGAGGAATAAAATTTGTTGACTGATAGAATGATGACAGGAAAAAGACCCTTCTCCATGTATTTCGTTTTTTTTTAACAAAAAGTCACGTCATCATTTTTTCAGAAATGTTTTCTACAACATAGAGAAAAATTTTCATCTAATCTTCTGACTTTAATATAACTAACCATCTTAAGAATACTTATAATACAGTCGGTATTTTTAGTAGTTTATTAAAACAAGTTAAAAGTTTTGTATGTAACTAATAATGGTGCAATAAATAACAAGATTTTGAAAGGATAATGATATACAGTCCAAGTGGAAGATTTTTGTGTTTTCAAATATGAAGATGTCTAAATACTGAAAGTTTATTTGTAAAAACCCATTTTTAGTGATTTCTTTCTTTGAGCAAGTAGTGTGTTTGTGAGAATTTTATCGTTCTAACAAAATCAAGGTCGAAAGAATAGGAACCAGGTCATTTGTGAGGAAATTGGGATAGGTAACTGCGATGTGAAATTTGTCCTGGTAATATTGTTTAGAAGGACGATGAAAGTTTTACGACTAAACCACTCAGCTCAGAAAGCAAAACTCTATAAAAATAAAGTGTTCTCCAAAGGATAGTTTACCTCAAACTATAGATGTTGGTATTGCCCGTGAATATCAAAATAATCAATATTTTTATCTGAATAAAACGAAAATTGGTGGGATTCCAGTCTTCTTATCAATCATTTCCATGTAATTCTATATCGTAAACGTTTTATCCGCTATTACGGTGAAGTATGTAGCCTTAGTTACAGTCTTATTATATTTGCAAACCATCACATGAACTTATCAAAAGGCTGGGGTTGGGGAATACTGTTCGGCGGCCTATGCTCCATTGGGAGTAACAGGCGTAAGGAAGTAATCAAAAGGTAAAATAGGAAAAAATTAAGTTTCATTGCCAGTCGATCATAAAGAACATAGATCATAGGGTATATGTACGTTGGCATAAATCACCGTGCCAAATTTCCATTATGTGGTACAAAGATGAGGCATTATTCATCTAAAATTAAATACTAATTTTACTTTTCAAATATATGAACACTAAATGCTGAATAATAGAAATCGATTTTTAGATTCGAAAATCCATCCTTACTGTGAATTTTACTTTGTAGAAAGAGCATTTAAATTGTCGGTTGTAGTCATAACGTTACTGTGAATAAATTATTTGGTAAAAATCCAAAAAAAATTATTACTCAGAGAACGCAAAACCAGGTACACTAACTGAACTCGATTATTTCCTCCATAATGATGTGAAATGTGGTTTTATTGATGAATAATCAATAATAATACATTAAAGTAATTATGGATTTATATAGTGATAACATAGGGGTTAGGAGTTTCAATTATTTGATTATTTGAAGTTGAGGGAGAAAGCTTTTAAATTAACCAGCAGCTGTCTTCAACTTTTGAGGCTATAGATATCGGATTCAGATGGGTGTTTTTTAACAACCTGAAAAAAGAGGAGCATAAAAGACAGGTTTACAGATAAGATTTGTTAAATAATTTGATATCATTTTGATAAACTCAGTAATTGAGATTATATGATGAAGAGCTTACTTACTTACTTTCGCCTGTTACTCCCAATGGAGCATAGGCCGCCGACCAGCATTGTCCAACCCACTCTGTCCTGGGCCTTCTTATCTAGTTCTATCCAGTTCTTGTTCATTCTTCTCATGTCTGTCTCTATTTCTTGGCGTAATGTGTTCTTTGGTCTTCCTCTTCTCCTCCGACCTTCAGGATTCCATGTGAGGGCTTGTCTTGTGACTCAATCGGGTGATTTCCTCAAGGTGTGCCCAATCCACTTCCAGCGCTTCCTCCTGATTTCTTCCTCCGCTGGAATCTGGTTTGTTGTCTCCCACAGTAACTTGTTGCTGATAGTGTCTGGCCATCGGATCCGAAGTATCTTGCGTAGACAACTGTTAATAAACACTTGTATCTTCTGGATGATGGCTTTCGTAGTTCTCCACGTCTCCGCCCCATACAATAGAACTGTCTTGACATTTGTATTGAAAATTCTAACCTTGAAGTTGGTTGACAATTGTTTTGAGCTCCAGATGCTTTTCAGTTGTAGGTATGCTGCTCTTGCTTTGCCGATTCGCGCCCTCACATCTGCATCTGATCCACCGTGTTCATCAATGATGCTACCCAGATATGTAAAGGTTTCCACATCTTCCAAAGCTTCTCCGTCAAGTGTAATTTGATTGGTGCATATTGTATTGTATCGGAGTCTTGTTTTTCCATTTGTTTATATTGAGACCTACTGCTGCTGAGGCTGCTACTACACTGGTCGTTTTCTCCTGCATTTGTTGTTGCGTTTGTGATAGAAGAGCCAGATCATCCGCGAAGTCTAGATCATCAAGCTGCATCCTGCCTTTCCACTGTATCCCGTGCTTTCCTCCAGTCGTTGACGTCTTCATGATCCAGTCGATCACCAGGAGAAAGAGAAAGGGTGAGAGTAAGCAACCTTGCCTAACACCAGTCTTTACTTCAAACGAGTCGGTGAGTTGTCCTCCGTGGACGATTTGGCAGTTTAGTCCATCATAGGAGTTCCGTATGATATTGACTATTTTCTCAGGCACGCCGTAGTGTCTAAGAAGCCTCCATAGTGTCGTCCTGTCCACGCTATCAAATGCCTTCTCGTAGTCGATGAAGTTGATGTAGAGTGATGAATTCCATTCGATCGATTGTTCCACAATGATACGTAGAGTTGCGATTTGATCTGTGCACGATCGATCCTTACGAAATCCAGCTTGTTGATCTCGAAGTTGGGCGTCCACGGAATCCTTCATCCTGCTTAACAATACTCTGTTGAAGACTTTCTCTGGTATTGAGAGGAGAGTGATGCCCCTGTAGTTGTCGCACTTGCTAAGATCACCTTTCTTTGGTATTTTGATCAGAAGTCCTTTTTTCCAGTCTGTTGGTACTTGTTCTTCGTCCCAAATTTTACTGAAGAGGATGTGTAGTATCTTGGCAGTTGCTGCTACATTTGATTTCAGTGCCTCTGCCGGGATGTTGTCTGGTCCCGCTGCTTTGCCACTCTTGATTTGTCTAATGGCCATGCTGATCTCTTCAATTGTTGGTGGGCCAACATCGATTGGGAGGTCTGTAGGTGCTGCTTCGATGTTGGGTGGGTTCAGTGGAGCTGGTCGATTTAAGAGTTCTTTGAAGTGTTCTACCCACCTGTTTCGTTGTTCTTCAATGTCGGTGATTACTTTGCCTTCCTTGCTTTTCACTGGTCTTTCTGGTTTACGGTAATTTCCAGCAAGTTTCTTTGTTGTATCATACAGTTGTCTCATGTTTCCCTCTCTTGCAGCCTTTTCCGCTGTCATCGCTAAATCTTCCACATATTTACGTTTGTCGGTTCTGATGCTCCTCTTCACTTGCTTGTTTGCCTCTGTGTATTCGGCTTGTGCCTTGGCTTTTTCCGCTCTTGTTCGGCTGATATTGATTGTTGCCTTCTTGTTTCTTCTTTCTTCAATTTTATCCAGTGTACCAACAGTGATCCATTCCTTGTGATGGTGCTTCTTTTGGCCCAGAACCTCCTGACATGTTGAAACGATTGCCTCCTTGATACCTTTCCAGTTGCTCTCCATGGTAGTTCCCTCTCCATTGAGTAGATCATGAAAAGCCTGGAACCTGTTGCTGAGGGCTATGTTGAATTTGTTGAGTTTGTCAGCATCTCGAAGAAAGGCCGTATTAAACTTTTGTGATGTTGTCCGCACCGTTGTCCAGTGCTTTTTGAGTTTTAGTTTCATCTTGGCGACCAGCAAATGATGATCGGATGCTATATCAGCTCCTCTTCTGATTCTCACATCCTCCATCGTCCTCCTGAACTTTTTGTTGATGCAGATATGGTCGATTTGATTCTGTGTAGTGTGATCCGGTGAAATCGAAGTGGCTTTGTGTATGTTTTTGTGTGGAAATATTGTGCCACCTATGACCAGTTTATTGAAGGCACATAGGTTTGCAAATCTCTCACCATTTTCGTTCCTTCCTCTCAGTCCATGTTGTCCCATGACGTCTTCGTATCCAGTGTTGTCCATTCCAACCTTAGCATTGAGATCTCCCATCAGAATTGTCAGGTCTTTGGTTGGGCACTTCTCGACGATCGACTGCAGTCTATCGTAGAATTGGTCTTTAGCGTCTTCATCGTAGTCGTTGGTCGGCGCATAGCATTGGATGATGTTCATTGTAATGCCCTCTCTCTTTGTTCTGAAGGAGGCTTTGGTGATCCTTGGTCCATGAGATTCCCATCCTATAAGTGCATTTTGTGCTTTTCTGGACAGCATCAATGCAACTCCTTGTGTATGTGGGGCGTTTTCTTCTTCATGACCGGAGTATAACAGAAGTTCTCCTGAAGACAATCGTTGTTGTCCAACCTGCGTCCAATGTGTTTCGCTGATTCCAAGAACCTCCAGGTTGTATTTTCTCATTTCTGCAGCAATTTGGAAGACTCTTCCGGTCTCCCACATTGTTCGGACATTCCATGTACCTATAAAAATTTTCGCTCTGGTTGTAAGAAGGTGCATCGGCCTCATGACTTCCGAAGGAACTCGGCTTTATGATGAAAAGCTTATTACAAAGTATATCTATCTATCAAAATTTTTTTAACACAGTAGCATCTCAAATACATTTACATACATTTAAACTAGATAACGGGAATATATAGTAAAAATTTTCATATCAATATTTATAAAACTTGGCAAGCTGAGATAGAGAAGAGGATGAAAAATTTTGTTTAGCCATGAACTTGATCACAAAAATCTTTTTTATTTAGTTGGGTAGTTCGTTGACCTACCTAAATTGTTATTCATTTACAGGTCATATAACGTGTCTTGAAAGACATGTGAATGAATCATAGATCAAATGAAGATCCTCATTTATGTTTAAAGGATACCAAAAGGTAACTAATTCCTACCTCAGAAACCACTAATTCTGATGAACCCAGTTTTTAGTGAGGTCGTTTTATAGCAATACAACTAAAATAAGATGAAAGTTTGGAAATTTTATAATTGTTACCGGAATAAATTTTCATATGGATTATTCATACAAACAACAGTAAAACGGACCTTTTCTCACTGACATGGTCGACCATATTCTATAAAACTGAAGACTATTTGTTAGATTCAGGTGTTAAAAATAATAACCATAAGTCAGCGTTCGTTTAACATGCATTTTTGGCATTATGTTAAAAGAACAGTGGTAAAGAATAGGATTCTAATAACATCAAAATTTACCTGTGGTAATTGAAAAGCATATGATCTGAATTCGTAAGCCCATGTGGTAAAAAACAGTATGATGATAAATCCTGCAGCCCACTCAAAACTTGTACTGCATAGATAAAATGAAAATCCCTGAAAGTAAAATCATTTAGGCATCAAATGTTATTCTCATGTAATATTTGAGTTCTACGTTTTCATATAATTATCTGGTTATTTGAACCTTATCATATTCTAGATAAAATATTTGGATAAAAACAACCATGAGATTCTAAGATGTTTTGTTGATATCAAGTAAATTGAATATGAATTATCAAACAAGCAAACCGTAACTAAGTTCCTTAAAGTAGATAACAGAAATCAGCCACAACATTTCGATAAGAAACAACATGTTTTACAAAAGTCGAAATACTATACAATTATTTAAGTAAAACTTAGAAATTTAAGCATTAATGGAGCCAGGCAATTAAACATACAATCATAAACTAATATTGCATTTTACTCATTATAACCTAATATAGACAAGCTATTGATGATTTTATTCATCTCATGAATGCCATGATTTTTTGCAGAAACTTTGAAAAGTCAACCAGAAATAGAATGTTTATGTTATTATGATACATTTTGCTTCATTTGAATTAAGTTTAAAGTGTGATGAGAACTAAATCAAACTGATTGATAAATTGGGAACAAACAACTTCACACTTATGCCATAAACGCGTATTATTAATGATAAACACGTTGCTGAATAGTGATACGGATGAACACAGCTAAATTATTTATTGAACAGATGTTAAACGAATTACCTTTGCAGAAAGTGACACACATTTAAAGGATAATTTTCATTGTGAACTGAAGTCAATGAGAGAATCACTCACCACGAAAAGGCATCGAACAGTCATTGTTATATAGAATTTAAATTTAAAATCTACAACCGCTAAGGTATAGAAGGATATCATGAACAGATCAATAAGTTTCACCGAGAAATAGGAAGCCCACCATTAGTGAAGAAAACAAAGACTTATGGTTCTCCCTAACTTGTGATCATTATGCTTTGCAAATATCTTCAAGAAATTTCAACATATGAATATTGAGGATTGTATTGCATCATAAAACTAAAGAAAGACACTTACACCTTGACCAGGATGCCGATAAGTCAAAGATTCTTCTTGTGTACCGTTGAAATTTATTCTGGAAATTGTATGACAGACTGAAACTAAAACCAAAAATTTCAAAGTAATCGAGTAACTCATCAGTAGAACAAAGTATATGAAATGGTTTACTAGTGGGTGACGTTGGAGGAAAATCGTGCTATTAAATTTATTGACTGAGATGAAAATAATGACAATTAAATTACGACACTAATGCTCGATAGTGCCGTACTTGCCGTGAGATTTGAAGCTCCTAGGTTAAAATCTTTGTACGATCGTTGGTGAGGAGTTTTAAGGAGTTTAAAAATAAGATACAATAGATGTTCAGTGTGTTTCCATCTAAGGCATCTCTCACTTCATAAGATGATGATTATTTTATTTACTGAAATTCAAAATTCTAACCGACCTAATACCATCAAAAGTTCACTAATAATCTAATACTATGAATGAAATAAAGTAAACTAAATGACTGTTTAGTAAACTCGGTTTTCCTTTCACGAACTTTAACTAACTTGCAAACGTCTGTATACCTATAATCCGAATTCATGCTATCCTAATTTTGATAGTTTCGAACAAAGTATAAGGTTAGAATTATTATTTAGCCATAGTTTTTTAGAGGTTATGTCTGTCTGAGATTCTAGAATCAAATTTTTTAACTATCAAATTACTTATAATCATATTATTTAACAAAATAAGTCTTGGAGAGAAACATTATTCTATAGGACTCTAACTCACTGTAGGATTCGTATCACCACAAAAGCAAACGGTCATCGTCTTGCAATATTGCATCAAATATATCGATCGATTAGGCAGTGATTTATTTTCCGGTACAACAGTAGGGCCGCACTCAGTGAAGCAGACATTAACAAGACAACTGAATAATAAAATCAGTAACCACCAGATGTAAAAATGAAAGCGATAAATGTTGCTAAGGAATGTCTAGTCAAAGGTCACTTATTGTAACTAACCATATACGTCTATGTTTGTGGTCACGGAAAAAGAGAATCTTGTATCCAAAAGAATATATTTTGGTAATATAACCGGTAAGACTGAAAAACTATTTTTATGTCAAAAAGTGATAGCTTTACTTTCTTTATGACAACATTTTACCGGTTTTCTCTGTTTTTTGTGACTTACACAAACTTGATGTTATTGCTGCCATTATCCCTAAGACAAGTCTAAAAGCCCATATACACCAATGTGTTCCAAGGTATCGTTTGCTAACTAAAGCACATAAAATGATATAAAGCGTTGTGCCGAAAAAAGCCATCCCAGCACCAATATCATGTACTAATTCAACGTTAACTTGCTGAAAACATAAAAAAATAAAATGATATGAATAAATGTAAATACATAATTAGAATATAAGGTGAATATATATGAAAAATGAAAATTGCTTCAAACTCCAACGCGTTATACAGTAACCTACTAAGTTCAGAAAGCTTCTCATTTGTACAAGGATAATGAATTTGAACTTCGTTTCTAAGGGCGTCAATCATTCCACGTGTTCTGGATTCCAATTCTACCTAAAGTTTACTTATTCTGCATACACCTGTGCCATAATGGGTATACAAAGGTGATCTGCACAGGATGCATAAGTCCCGACCAAGGCTGTAATTATATATATATATATATATATATATATATATATATATATATATATATATATAATCATAAGATTTCATTTGACCTCTTTGCTGCTGTTATACGGTTTACCATTCTTAACTTATTCTCAATTCGTTAGTTACAGTCTCTCACACTCACATCCACCTTTTGGACTGGTTTGGTATAATTGTTATTTTCTGTTTTATGGTGTGATGTGGTCTGGTATGTTAGTATACAAACCACGTATTTCTGAAATACACTATTTATACAGTAGAGGCCGAGATTGCATTCTGGACTCAACAGACAGGGCTAGGCGAGGATAAATAAGGATTAAGAGTTGACGCAAAGCTTCTAGTGCTGTTTCACGTGTCATTGTGTGGTGTGTCCTACTTATGTCAACATAAGTAGTATATAACGCTACTCAGTAATAGAATGTCTGGCAGCGGAAGCTCAAGAAGATCGCGGAAGAAATAACGGAAATAGAAGGCAATTGGTTTAGGAGTGCAGGAACAACGAAGTCTGAGACAATCAGTGAACATTTAGCAGATTTTATTAAGACGTTCGGTTGTCCCCACTTGTGTTCACGTTCTCTACAATTGGTTCGACACAAGGACAAGGTTATATAAATGGGTATCTGGGCAGGCGATTTTGTCATCTGTTAACTAACAGAACAGAAGTCATTGCAAAAATATCACAAATCATATAATGACTATCACAACTTTAATCATTGCTAAAAGAAATGCACTTAATAGATTATTAAAAGAATAATTTTGACTGCGTAATTTATCTTATCATTAGCATATAAAAAAGTAGGAACATTCTTATTACAAACAAAAGGAGAAAGGGTAATTAATTTGACGGCGCTTTGTTCACCAAACCCCTAAAACAACCTGTAAGTCCTGGGTTCCATCCCCATTTGTTAGCTGCATGCGCACTACTGATTCCCATACTAGAACGAGATAGATGTACGGTAATTTCAGTAGTTATCTACCTAAGGACATTCGGAGATGTAAATTGTAAATAACAATGATTAGTATCTTCAATAATGGTATGCGATTTACGTTTTGTTGTTCTATTTTACACGTTCAGTGATTTGCGATTTTTCTCTGAAAGTTGTTGATGTTCATTTTATTTTCCATGGTTGTACAGTTACAAATTAGCCACTTCAGATAATGATCATAATTGTCTTTCTTCAAATTATGCTAAACAAAGAATAAAGAAAGTGTCACAAAAGACTTTTAGGTTAATAAATTTGATATTTTAGTTGTCCGAAGGCTTAACAGAAATTAGGATAATGATAAAAACCAGTGTATGTAGACTTTTTTGTTGACAGCACAGCATAATCTGTTTTAAGAGTACAAAAATCCAAATAGGCAAATGTTTATATGCTTCAAGAATAATTTTATAGGAATTATTTCGCTGATCATCTGAAAGTTAACGAATTTCACAACAAGATTTGGATTCAGAAACTTTTTCCGTACTTCAAAGTTTGTTCAACAAAATTTGATAAACAAACTGTAGCCATTCATGGAAATTGTATATATATATATATATATATATATATATATATATATATATATATATATATATATATATATATAGCTCTTTATATTTATTACAGATGCATGTATTTCAGATAAATTCATTTATGTAAACTTACTTGAAAATTCCCAACCAATGTTAAACCGATTGCAGCAATTAGAGACAATACAAGCATAAATTTAAGAAGACAATTTGGTTGGTGTGTGCCCATAAATTTCGTTCTCTCTAGAGCAATTAAGTACCAAAAAAAGGAGCATATCAAACCTATAGTAGTGAGAAAAACAAATAGAATAGTGAAAATAAATGTGAACATTTGTTTTTCATATTAAAATATCGATGACTTAGAAAATTAACTAGGTTTCTGTATTCATCAGTCAAATTTGATTAATTCCTCAGATATACTAAACACTAAAAAAAAACAATTATTAGGCATTTTGAAGCATCTAATCATTGTACCATGATTATTTAAATACACCGGATAAAAATTTCACTAATTATATCAGGCTAAAAAAACTTGTTTTTAAGTGACTTTATAAGAATACTGAATACTTTGTATCTTTAAAGATTTGCAAATGAGACTTAATATGTGAATGTTTATCCTGTACAGTCAACAACAAAGTAAGACAGAAGGATTTCAACCAAAAAAAGAGAATGTTTATTTTTAATGGAATGCAGCTGAGTCCCAAATTTTCATTTTACGTATCATATCATTGTGTGTTGTCAGTTGGCTTCATAATTTTACTTTATAAAACACGTCACTCATCATTTGATGAAAATTAATGTTTTAGCAACTAGTTATGCATTAAATGAGGATCGATATTGTCATTGAGTTTTTACCATAAAAGAAAAGGTTTGTCAATAAACAAAAAAATTACCAATTAGTTAAACCAAAAAGTAGAAAGAAAATTCATTCTAAAAAAAGAACTGTGGTGTACACATTTATTGTATGAACATATACATGCAAGAATCATGCATAACAATGTATGCACTACATTATTACTTATGTATTGAAGTTTTCAGTCGAAAAAAAACATTTTCATTGAATAAAGTATAATATTATGTTTCATAGAATTTTATTAGTTCTCATCAATCAAATAAACTAATTAGCTTATGATTCAAAACAACAATAATAACTTTAGCATGAAACATTTATAAATTTCACTGTGTTGAAATATAAACAACACTAAGTTATTGTATAACTTGTATTGATGATCGTTACACAACAAATGAATAAAATTAATTATTCTATCAATGAATAATAGGATGAAACTGCCGTCCAGTGCTTCCAGGTTTTCAATTGTGGTCTAACATTGATCAGTTCTTGATATCAATTAAAAACTCAACAATCTCTACAATCCTATGCTGCTTTTAAAATAAACCCGGTTTTCATCTATCTTGAATTTAAAGGTGAGGAGATTCCATGAAGGATAGACGAAAGGCATAAAGCAATGCTGAAAATAATATTTCCTGCAGTCTAACTATTTTTGGTGTTAAACACTAAACGTTTCTAAGACTAATCAAAAGTGGATTAATACTCTTCTGAGGTCATCCATAAATGTATTTATGAATCCACATGCACTTGTGGAAGCACGGACATAGGAGGGCTGAAATAAGGGATCTACAAGGTTTTCCAAACATAGTCGCTGAAAGCACTGCTTGAATGAAATTAAGGTATTCATAAGTGCGATCACCATACATTTGATCGGTAGCACACACGACGCGGATAATGACAAAAGCTTTCAACTAACTGGGAAAAAACAGTAAACATAGCTTCTGTTCCGCTTTTTAGAGGCTATTATCTTCAAGCGCTTTCAACCTGACCTCTTTACACAGAAAAAATTTGTGGTTGGTAACCTTCTCGTCGTCATCAACGTTTGACAACTGCATTCTCTCTTTTTTGTACTTATTAACTTAAAATAAAACAAATTACACTAGCATACACCTGTGACATCAACTTGAATTTTATGTCAGATAGGTACATGATTATCACTCATTTATCGACAGTCTTTTCTGGTCTCATATATTTAGTCCCTTTTATTATCTTGAAGAGAGTAAGAACGAAAAATTGTCAGGTAAATGCAACAGAGTTAATTGGCTCAACCGAAAGACGAATCATGAGTATACTCAGGGAGCTATTGTAGAAGAAAATTAATAATAGCGTTCACCGCATATGTATGCCCTGCCAAAGATTTATAAACAAGATATCCCGCTTAAGTCTATTTTGTCAATGATAAATTCACCTCACCACAAAGTTGCACACCGTCCAGAGGAAAAGTTAAAACCAGTTCATCACCACTTAGTCTCTTATACACAAAGAGTCTCTTTTCAATTCACTGACAGTCATAACCATATAAATATTGCTTGTAGGTCGATAGTTTCCTTTGATATGACATCTTTCCTTACCGAAGTTTCACTTTTCATAGCCATGGACATAATCTGCGAGCAACATAATCTTCTACCTTTACCAGTACCAAAACTCAAACGACTGATAATCATGTGAACGAAAGATGCCCAGTTTCAATTTGATGACATCTTACACCATCAAAATGGTGTAGAAATGGGAAGTTCACTTGGTACTGTCCTAGTAGATTTGCTCAAGAATAACTTTGGAAAGACCAAGCTTAAAGAAGCGAATAGTGATATGGTATATTATGCGAGGTATGTTGACGAAACTTTTATTGTATGTAACGATCAGCAGCAGAAAAAACACTGCTTAACCTCATTTGCGACGCTGATAAAAATATTCAGTTTACCATGGAATACGAAAAGGATAATAAGTTCCACTTTTTCAACATTGCAGTACAACGAAGAGAGGACGTTGGAGTTGAACGTTCACTTTATCGAAATGATACGCGGAATGATGTTTATCTGAAGTTTAACAGCTTTTGTCCGACTACTTACGAAAGGGTATTTATTGGAACACTGTTTCACAGGAAGGAAAGGATATATACTTTCGATACACTGGGAGCAAAATTAATGAACGTTAAAGCAAGCCTAAAAAACAGTAGGCACCCAAAGGAATTTATTGAATAATCTGGGAAAAGTAAAGTAAAAACGCTCCAAGAAACCGAAGAAGAAAAGAAATCTATTTTCATTCAACTTGAATTCAAAAAGGACGGGGTTTAAACGGCAATGAGCAGCAGATTAAAAACGACATTAACCAGAACTTATCCTGTATAAAACAATATGTTCTTTACTCCAATCGAAGATTGATAGTTATCTCTTTCATGTTACTGCCAACTGCGTATGCGAATTTCCATGTACTCGACAAAATAGTCAAATTTGGTGGACACGGAAAGTCCACCTAGGGGAGTTGGAAAACCCTGATTCCAAACCAATGGTGCACATGGGCTCCAGTATCCTGAGGGAACAAATGGCGTATGAATTATTCGTTGGTCACCGGCTACCATGGAACTGAATCTCCTCACGATGCTCCACTGCCTTGTGGATCAGACCTTTAGGTCAAAGGCTCCGGGTGTGGCCCCCTAAGAAAACCACCTGCTTCAGTTTGGGCACCTGGGCAGTATCACAGCTCTCCTACAAATCGAATGAGATTTGTGCGGCGCATATGTATCTGGTGCTTCCTTGTACCAATATTTATGTGTTTAAATAAAATAAAATAAAATAAAGTCACATTTGTAGAACAGCAAGGAGGGCACATGTTCGATTCTAAGAACATATATTAAAAAGTGTCAGGTCAATTGGATTAAAGACTTTTAGCACTGCCTTTGCTAAATATCTCTGTGACACAGGGTATCAAGTTCCTAGAGTGAAATCATTCAGCATTATCAATCGACAGCCAGATTCCATTTTTATCAAACTCTTTGAAGTTATAGCCATCAAACGGCTCAAGCCAGATTTGAGTATATAAAAGGAAGAAATTCCAAATATTTCCTTACCATGACGATTTTATCATCAGTTCATTACATCATTCTTGAATTTTTTCTCGCTATCTTATTTTAGTTGCATCACTAGCATTAAGTTCATAATTTCCTTTTTAGCTGACTGATCCCAACACATGATATTCCAAAATGCTGTTAATTTATGTTCAACCACTTCATTATAGAATCAAGTAATTAATTTATCTCTATAATTTCTTAGCAATATGTCTGATAATCCAGAACCCCTTCTCATGTATTATATGTCTTCACTCTTATTACTCCACCATGATGATATATATCTACTTTTACTGTAATAAGCATGTAAACTTTACAATGATTTTGAATTTTCTTTTAAATATCATAAGTTATAAGCAGGTGATGAGAGCCATACGAAAAAAATGAATTCACGTTATTATGTTCGATTATTTGTTTCTAGTCATCGTCTCTTCATTATTATGACTCATAACTTCAACCCTATCTTTACATGATTTCGTCTTCAACATATAAATACTATCTGCATAGAGTTGTGGGAATTGTTGAGTTAAGGGTGATATCATGAATGGATGGATGTTATATCATTATTGAAAACATGGAAGCACTGGATGGCCGTTTTGTCCTAGTGTGGGACTGATCAGCAGTGGGCGTTAACACCGTTGGGTGCCGGCTCAGTGGTCTAGAGGTTAAGCGTTTGGGCGTCAGACCGAAGGTACTGGATTCAAGTACAGAGTGCGGGATCGTGGATGAGCGCTGTTGAGAAGTCCCATAATAAGATAAAACATCCGTCTAGTGCTTCCAGGTTTTCAATACTGGTCTAACATAGATCCATTAATGGTATCAACCTAAATATAAATACTAATCAGCCTTAAATATTCGACCTAATATGTTGCTTCCTTTTCTTATTTCGTATGTCGCATTGAATTAAACTTCATTGATTACGGTGTATAAAGGTTTGTAAAACAATATTACTAATGTAAATTAGAACGTATGTAGCTGATGAGAAGCCCTGAAATATAATGAATCTATGTTATCCTGAAAATCTTGTTCTTTTCGCTTTATTTAAATATTCATGTGTGGCGAGACTATAATTTACGAACGAAACAATCAGGTTTAGGATAACAGGTCTTGGATTTTGGAGCAAAATTCAACCATCCATTTGGTTAAATGGCGTTTTTAGGTTTTAGCAGATGTCAGTTCGTGAAAACTCTAAATCTCAATCAAAACCCTGACCATTAATTGTAAATCATAATCCTCACTCTTCACACAGACTTATAACTCACATTTAGCCCTCGCAAGTAGGTGGACATTCTCAAACCTACTTTAACGTCCCTCAAAGGTCGTCCATAGATTATAATCACACCCTATGTGTTTATTGGCTAGTACATCCCACACAATTCAGAATGCGTTTCAATTTTAAAGACTGTAACGTAATCCATAATTTAAAAAACCTAGAATTTGAGAAATTATCGCATTCTAGTAAACTAAAAGAAAGTAATATTTCGTCCAACAACGGTGAATGACTTTATTCATCAAGATAGGGTATTCTAATTGAACTGTCATTTGTAATAACAGTAATGGATAGGAATGTCAGTTGGATTTCTTATTTTGAGCAAATAAGTATTTTGAGGTTTGTGTGCAACAAGTTTTTTTCCAGATGAAAAGTTGCACGATCATATTACTTCAGTTTCATGAAAATACATTCACCTGACTGAAACACTAATAATCAGTTTGGTGGGAAATATATCTAAAAAACTAGCCATAAAAATCTATTCGAGCGAACGGAAGTTATTGACTTTATAATGTGAACTCTGTCATTGTTTGATACGTACTTAAACTATTTTAAGCGAATAATTAATCAATGAGTATGTACGAAACCATTATCCCGGAATACAACAATTTTTTAGAAAGCATTTAGTTAGGTTTTTTTGGGTTCACGGTATTAGGACTAAAATTTATCAGACTTTACTGGGATGCAAGCTGTCTGAATGGGGCTCCTAATGCCAGCTGAACTTATAAGTGGATTATTTATATCAGATAGACTCAATATCGGTACCTGTTTCTTTTTAACATTAGTGGCTTACAATTTTCAACGGATATAACACGTTATTTATCATAACTAAAATTAAACCACTTTCAAGCACAAAGCCTTACGAATAATAATGAACATAATAATTTGTTTTCTGACTGATAATAATGAGATGAATAACCAGCTGAACGGAGTGCTTTAAATAAATCTAATACTACAGTTATTTAATTGCATCACAATTGTTCCATCAAAATATCAAGGGGTGATAAGTAAACTGTAAGTAAAAGCAATTAGACTTTGTGTACCATCTTAACTTAAGCTGAATATGTTTCAAAAAATTTCATTAAGGTATACGAATATACACCGCCAATTGTAAAAATGGTATATTGAATTCGGAAAAGTTTTATTCTACAAGACATTTCTAGAATATTTACTCCAGTACTCGAAGAAACGAGTTAAATCACTTGCAAATCGATAACTTTCCGATTCTGTTTTCGTTTAGTTAAAAGATATTGCAAAGTGATGGATCTAAAAGTTTTGTTAACCTCCGAAGCACTTTTAACTTATGTAATTCCCTTAACATACAGATAAAAAACATGGAATTTCACGTAGAGATGAATATAAGAAAAGTATACATTCGTAAAACTGCACAAAATAAAGTGAGAAAAACATTTCGCTTTTTCAGTATGACTGTGACAATAATAATAATAAAGATGTATTTCACCCATATAGCACTCAGCACCAATCAATAAATAATGGTGTTGATATTTCATTTAAAATAAATAAATAAATATTAAATACTAAAAATATTAAATAGACTAAATGGACTCACAAAATTGATAAATCTAAGTCCAATAACCTGATAGTTTACTTTCAATCACTTGATCACTTAAATTAAATAATGATTCCATTTTTTAGATGACTATGGGTGGCTATTACTAGTATAGATAAATAGGATTCATAGTCAAATGCACTGAGATTGTACTCAAACACTAAGCTGTATTTAACAGTTTTTCTTAAGTCTTGGGTAAATTCCACCAAGGTGGTATTCAAATACCAAATAGCTAGTCTAGAAAGAATTTGTCTGTTCATGTTAATGGATTAGGTCAAGACTTCAAAGTTAATTTTCACGCTTTTATGAAGTACAGTATAAATGGTTAAAGATGACCTGTCTTCCGCCTTATTTACCGTACAATAAGCAGAACGAAAGTATACAATATTGACAGAAAAGGTTTTAAACAAAATTCTCTTGCGAATTTCTGTCGCATAGTAGATAAAGTACAATCTAATTGACCATTAGTTTCGATTTTATTTCCAAACCAATCATTATTTCTAATATTATTATTCTTTTCAACTTGTTTAAATTTTCTTGATTAAATTTGCGATGATTTCTTCTACTGAATATAGCATTTTTGATAGGATTATGAGATTCAGACTTACTGATAAAAGCAGCTATGTTTAATCCCTCACCAAATATACAACTTTCTGGTGGATAGGCACCTGTAGAGCTGGAAAAGAGTATTAAATATATTTAAAGTGAGTTTCTGAGTAACGTAAACATGGAAAACCATAGACTATAGATGTCAAACTACAGATTAAGGTATGGGCAGGTACTAATTCTTGAATTCGTTTACACATAAGCTAAGACAATATCATATTCTTATTTAAAATAAAAGAAATAAAGCTATTTAACTGGAAAAGTACATGAAATACACTAGCATCACACATATAAGATAAACTTTCTGATGAAATATATATGCTTTGACTCTTGAAATTTATAAAAATAGGTTTTAGCGGTTTTGGCAATTCGTGAGTTTGTAACTGAAACTTAGTGAGGAGTAATCAATACGTTTAAAAAAGATAAAAATAAAGGGTCGAAGTTTAGACTAAACCCTGAGATTCCACTGCATTACACTCATTCACATTATGGTGTACCATTTGAAGTATGTTATTTACAAATTATATTTATGAACTAGTCAGAAACATTTCCTTAGGCCAGGTCAAATAGAACCGATGTTCAAATCAAGGATTAGACGTAGAGTCCATCGATACAAATATCAGTGTGTTATCCATTAAGTTAATAAATAATGATAACCACAGTATTGTCCAATAGATCGATATCTTTTACAATTAGTAATAAATACATACGATGTTTCGTCCCTTTGTTAAGGGAGAAACAATAAATTTTCTTAGAAAATACTGATCGAAGATAGGCTTACATCAAGCTTCACCAGTAAAAAGATGAAGTCCAAAAATTCAAGAGAATCGTCTACCTTCGATTCAAAAAAGATGATCTACTTAAATTCCAACGCCAAAGACAAAACAGATGCTAATATTTTAGGGAGTAGGATATCGAATATCATTGAAGAAAAATATTTTACAGAGACTATGAGAACTTTGTTCTACGGTTGACTTATATTTGCAAAAATCTCTCCTCAATGAACGCTTTTGGATTTATTCGCCAAGTTACTTGTTCTTGTGAATCAAGTGTCTTGATATTTTGATGGTTAGTTTTCCTGAAAGCGTACAAGAATATTATCTTGGGTGGGTAATTAGAGAGGACAGAAATTGAATTAAAAGTCTTATAGTAAAACATCAAGTCAATAATAGCTCTAAAGTCAAAACGTAACCTTTTTTGGTAGCATTTGACAAAGCAAAAACGAGTCTGTAAAACTCACTAGTTTTCTCCTCATTGTGGTCCATAATCTCTCAATAGACGAATAGAAAGCCCGAACTAAGTGTGAAAAAGAAGTTCGTTAAACTCTTCTTAAGATTGAACCAACCAAAAGCCTATGAGTTCTTCTTTATGAGTTCTTCCTTATCACACAGTCGGACTCTTGCTTTTTGTTTCTGATTCCTTTTATAGACTACAATTCACATTCGCAGCTTATCTTACTGTGGAGCGCAACTCGTTTTGTAATTATCTTTCTTTGCCTTATTTCTATGACATACTCGAGTTTTTTTCAACCTATTGTAAAGGTACTACATTATTTCACGTCTATTATCTGTTTTGCTGTGTTCGATCTGTCGTCTTTATCATACACTATAATTGTAAAATATTATATACAAGAGGTTGTACATTTCTGAAAATTAAATTTTAGCAAAAACTCTTCCTGCTAAAAAACATTCATTTTTTCGTCTCACAGTGAATCGTTTGTTACTTACAAACACGTTTGAACTTCCTGACAAAATGATGGCTTCAATTAAAAAAGTTTAATTAAACATTTTATGTGACTCATTAGTTTAAGACTGTCTAATCAACCTGTATCATGAGTTTATTTGGGCTATTGTGAATGATTTCTTACTTCGTAACCTAGGGTTTCCAATCACTTACTGTCAACCTCTCAAAAATTTCCTCTGGATACCCTCAGTGTTTCCATGCGACTCACAATAATAGTTTATAATGCTCCATATATCAGTGTCCAATAAGTTACTGAAGATCAGTAAATTACTTTTGACCAGGGAAAAATCAGAAGAGGTCTACCTTTAATCCAATGACTAGTCAAAAACTTCTACTCATCAACCAAACTATATTCTTGATTGAAGGAAAATGTTAATCAGATTTTAAATTCGGTATCATTTTAAACTTATTAAACATTCCTTAAAGTTGGAGCAGGTATTCACAATTTCATAAAATTCCACAGCTCTGTCAAGAACATTAATATTGTTGTTAGCTCGTCGAACGTTACAAACGATTTGCTTCAACTATCTTTTATTTGCCTACGACTGAATTTTATGTAAAACTACAAGTTTCTATACCTTCATAACTGCATTTTGTTTACATCTATTTTTTGAGAGTTATAAGCGTCTCACAGTACTGTACATTGTTTGTGGGCTAACCAATGAGTTCCAGATGGTTATTAATTTAACACAAAATCTAGATTAAATATATGGTAATGCTTTAATAGAACGAATATGTATATACTTGCCTGATAAATGGCAATTCTGCATTTACATGTCCTCTATAGATGGAAATGAGATATCTATATTAAAGTAAGCAAAAAGATTTTATTATATAATAAAAATATCGGTTTTAGTTTTGAAAGCGAACCACTTATATAATGCTAATTTTTTACGAAAGATTGATTTGGTCAACAGAATACGTTTTCAGGTGAAGTTACTAAGTAACAAGCAGTGAACTTGCGGGACTAAATTTAACACTCTATCACATTGCCTTATAAGAAGTCATCCAGGAACCCGTTTGACAAGCGTGCACTCGAGTGTTAAAGTAATAAGGATGTAAAAGTACACGCATCTGAAAGGACTCAACAACTGTGCAGAATTAGATCGATAAGTCATATTTTTATCTCATTAAGGTAAGAAGTAAACAATGGTATATGTTTAACTGTGTGATGAACCTACAACTGAATATCTGGACTACTTCATGGAGTAATCCAAAAAATCACATTTTAGTAGATGTTTATCAACCTATAATATTCATTCACATAATTTATGACCACTCTTAGAATGCAAAAGGGGTATTTTTTTAGTTTGAAGAAACATTTTTCTTGCTACCAACTTCAGGTAAACTATTGGAGATATTCTAAACATATAAATCTCGGGATCTCCGTATTTTTTTGATGTTACCTCAATAACGTTACCTAATATTATTATGACAAAATAGGGGTTACGTTTATCAGGGAAGTTGAAGTTGGAAAAATTTTGATGTTTAATTTTATTTGTTGTTACAAACCTTTAATCAAAAAGCAACTGGAATGTAATCCTAAAAATTGATTGGACAATAAGCCTGGAAAGAAACTGGATAGTCTTTATTTGAATATGACATTCATTTCAGGACTAGGAAATACTAAGAGCAACAAGATTGGTTCTGTTACTGACAAAGTGGAGAATCAGTAACACTTATATAATTCTCAAAATATGCTACGTTGACAAATATTTCGAAGCAGTGAAGAGCATTCACGACTCTAGATCCATTTAAGTAGGCAGCCAAGAAAAGTATTTTGGACTTAATTACTTTTGGATTTGTTTAAAAGATAAACTTTCGTTCTGTTTCTACAATTCAAATGAAACTGACCTTCATCACGTATGCATTAGAAGTTAACTAAGTAAAAGAATTATCCAGATTTTAGTTACGTTTTACAAACTGTTACAGTCTCAGTCAATTTTTCAGCTACTTCTTAGTATCCTCGCTTAGTTTGTAAGACATAGTACGTCTTTTAGTCAAGAATTACTTAGGAATTAAGAAATATACCTTCTTTCTGAGTGGATTTGCCGTGTTTAGGTGTAAAAAGGTAAAATAGTTTCAAAGATTCTGGAAATTTAACTAGGAACTCATTCCTTCAATCAACTAACAGTAGAATGTTAATAGAGTTTCTTCAAATAAAACAACAGTAATAATGATATGTAAATTAATTGTAAAAGACCTAAATACGTATTCGTTTTACATCTGAAATGATAAACAAGGAGATGAACTTACGTTGTTAGAACTGTGAAACTCATAATCAAAGCCAGTAAAAGCGCAACCCACTGCAGACCAATGTGAGAACATACAACAAACATATCGCTGATTTCTGTGTATTATCTATTTATAACCTGGAATACATCGTAATGTTTTATTTTATGATGTCACTTTTGTACAAAACAATACTTATAATCTGTCAATTTTTATCATTTGCTATTCAAATTTGTTTTGGGGCAAGACTTCTTTGGTTTAGCTTAACAGGTATATTTTTCGTTTGTTTATAAACTATGAGATGGAACATACTGTGTCCCTGTATGGAAAGTATACATGCGACAGAAACGCGAAAAGACATATGTGATGCACAAGTATGAAAGTTGGGACTAACATTCTCAGATCTAAAGCGTTTTACGATTTTTAAAAAAGTGACTGTGGTTCGTGTGTTTAGTGATTATCGTTTTGTACATCATTATGAGCTTTATCCATAATTCCAATACAAATGTACATGAGTTTACGGGGTTTTCCTATCCTCAGATGCAGGTCCCTTAGTAGGCCTAAAAGTAAATTATAGATGAATCTGGTAAGTTCTATTCCATAACATATGTTAAATGCTATTTTTTGTTTTGCCAACGCATATGTGTATGGGATCGATTTTCACGGCCAACATAAAAAAGATGTGAATAAATAAACGATTTGCAGAACAGAGGTCAATAAGTAACAGCTTTCGATTACATTGTAACATTTAGTAAAGACAGAAAGTATCCCCATAGTTATATTTTGCAGTCGCATCTTCAAGAAAGGAATGGCAAGTTGAAAAGAACCCGAATTCTCGGAGAAAATTGAAAGCAGACATTTTACTAACAATATATTGAAAACGATCAAACCAGTATTCACTGAAGCACTGAATAAGATCCTTATTTGTTATAACGAATTTATGTATGCGCAAACTAATGACAAAAAATAAGTGTAATAAAACCAACTGGATTATAATCCATATATATATATATATATAATTGGTAGACTTGAAAATAAACAGTCGGTTAATATACAAAGACGTCACTATTTGAGTCTAGCCTAAGTGCTTTTTCATATTCTAAAGAAGTTTACTTTGCCCTAGATGTGATAAAAACACACGGAAAAATCTAGCTAATTGTTAACGATTCTCTGGATGATGAACTTACGCTAAATATTGAAAATAACTAAAATAGATTTGTAAAATTACAGGTGTGAAATTAGTACAATCGAATAGTGTGAGTGTGTTCAACTGAACATTTTCGAATGCAAGTTATCACTTACTTTTCGCGCATAGTGACCTTCAGAAAAATCAGGGACGTGAACTAGGTCAGTTTCATTCTTCTGTTTCAATTCGGGTGTGACAGAAGGCTGATTAGCCACTGTAAATCGTGGTGGTGTTGGCCTCCCGTTTGATCTAACCTTCTTTGGAATGCTTTAATAGATGAGGCTTTAATCACGTATTGAGGTAGTGAGTTCTTTTGAATTATTATTAGATGGGGAAGTGAGTAATTTGTTCTGGGCCTGTGAACTTAGAGTTTACTTGCAAGTTCTCTATCTTAGAAGACAAGGGAAATGAGTTTATCTCAGTTACATAGTTATCACTAAGTAATTTAAAAACTGTTATCAAGTCACTCCTGGTTCTCCTATATGACAAGGGTTTCTGGGAGTTATGGTCACTTCTCTGAGCATCGGAATGCTTTGATGAGGAGATGTTTCAGATTTTAAAACCCACCTAAGTAAGACCACACCGAGAGTACTGCATCCGAGCAGCCGGTCAATGTTTTACTAAGGATGCTACAATACTCGGGCGTGTTCAGCATGCGGGAACAAAGTTAGTAGATTTTTCCCAACCCATTTACGATCAGCGCTCAAAACGCCAGCACTTTCTCTCTTTATCGTATCGTGGAACACGAGGTGACCTTATACTAGCATTCCGTAACTTTGATAATCATTTGAGTATCATTATATCTTATATTTCACTCCATCCAGAACTAATCATTTCCGAAGCCATAGCAAGAAGGTTCGTAAACCGCCATCTTAAAACCCAAAAAAAATTTAATCTTTCCCATCAAGTAGATAATGACTGAAACGCCTTACTCGAAAGGGTGGTATCAACCCCATCAGATGACATTTTCAAGGAAAATCTGGACCTTATCTGGAAAACGAGTTACAAGGATTAATACAGGTCCATCGAGCTATTATCCTTATAACTGAAGTCTGAAACCAAATAGGTTTAGTTTAGCCAGTCTATCGTCATTTTAGAGCTATTAGATTCCAGAAATCAGCTTATTTGCAGTTTTCAAAACCTTTTTCAATAGCCTCTTATAATTTTTCAGGCGGTGGTTAGCTACGTTCAATACTCGAATTAAGGAACATTGAACACTGTATAAAAACTCAAGGAGTTTTTAGCTTGACTGATGACCCTACGTAGAACCTTGTCAAAAACCCTGCTGTAGTCAATCAAGAATTCATCTATAGGTAGCATTTGATCTAAAGAGAGGACCACACTTCACAGTCTATAAAGTGCTTGTGATACACCAGCAAAACTTTCGAAACCCGTGGTGCTTTCTAGTATGAATCCGGTATTTGTCCATATGCTTAAATAACGTCTTCCAAATATTTTGAAAGAAACGACATACCACCAATTTAGTTAGGTTGACGAGTTGAAGCTTAGGGTAACTCTTTGGTATGTACATTGCTAGCATAATTTGAGAATACCTGAGCTTTTCCACAATCATCTTCCACTGATTATCTAGTACTACCATCTCACAATAATTCCGGAATGCTGTCTTTTTTTCTTTTACCTTCAGTTTTTGCATATTTATAAGGGTTTAAGATATTGTATAGACTCACTAACTAGCTTGTCTACATACAATCTTCTGGACATTCGGAGGGTCAAGGAGTAAGTAATTAGGTTCCTCCGTTATTAAGATTTGTTTCAACAACGTTACTGAATGAAATATGTTCCCATTTGTTTAAACTAGAGCTGATGCGAACCGAAATAAAAAAATATGGGTTTTTAATGCAAATTTCGAATAAATGTTGCTGTAATGTAGAGTGTAAGAATAAGCTAACCAGTTATCGATGAATGCACTTGAGGCGGTCTAACTACCTACGACCTGGTGCAGTCGCTTGGCCGAGTACTTTTTGTCAGTGGGTGACCAGGTAATTTATTATGGTCAGCGTCAATACCGAAATCTTAGGAAGCTATTTAGTTCTGAGACTTTCTTTTGACTGCTGACAATTCGCGTTATCAGTCTGAACAGGTTTCGAAATCTCAAAAATTGCCTCATCTTCCCTTTTCTGTCGTTTAAATACATACTTATAATCTCAGCACTGATAAAATTTGATAGTTGAAGAATACATTTTGATTATATTCCTTAAAAAATTTAATTTATTCTAATTTTTATTCGCGAAATTTCCATCTGACATCTACCACTAGGCTTTTAATATGGCTACCTTGTTTGTCGGAGCTAATTATAGATAGCTTAAACATGATCGTTTGTGTGAAATCAACTTGGTTGAGAGTACAAAAGAGCAGAGAAATATAGTTGTTTAAATCATGTTGTAGTCGGCGTCGAGTCGCGTCTTACTGTGATCACCACTACAGGAATACCACGTGCCAGGTATTAGGTTGGATATCTCCGTTGGCCGAAAACCGGAAGGCAGTGGACGGTTGTAATGAGATATATTTGTTGGCGATCTCATGATATCGAAAGAATACTGAGATCGTGCCAAATCCACAAGCGAGACTACTGAGCGTACACTAGTTCCTATCATGTTGCAAACAACGGAGGAGTGTTTTTTTGGTACACTTGAATAAACAGATGGAGTCAAACAATCACAGCTACAATTGATTATGATAATAACTGTCTTCGTTGTACCAATCGTATTTGCTTCATAAAATTAGGTCACGACGGGAGCCCTGTGCTGGGAAGGCTTTACACTTTCGACACGTAGCGCGCCACACCAGGGTGGTTTCCATGCGGAATCTGGAGTTTGCGTTCGTAGGGGTCCGGACCAGAAAGCGCTGCAGATGTAGGACGTAACCATATTGAGCCAGGCAGTCAGAAGCCACAATCACAACCAAGTTCGAAACCATACGTATGCCTGATGTATTCGGAGCTAGAAAGCATAGACTGAGTGCGTTGACGGGAGCGTGGGTGATCAGACCAGTTGGCTGAAGTCAATGGTATCAATTGGGAGATGGTCGGATACATGGGCTCAGGATAAAAAATCAAATGAAAAGATAACGGTGTAGCATTCATGTAGTATATGGATAGAGTCCTATACCATATCCGTTGTTGAGTGAGAGGTTATTAACGAAAGCGAACAGGTAGGTGTACTCGGCGACCGGGACGTGAGATTGTAGTCTCGTTCGTTCCTCATAATACTGCAATCTCATCCAAAGTCAAGGGCGGCGTGATCTGCAGATCTGGACGTGAAACTAAAGTCTCGTCCGTAGATGGTGCAGCTGAAACCTGCTGTTGGTCCGTTATGTATTTGGTGCGGGGTCCGAAGTGGTTTTAAGGATCCCGCTTGTAGGTTTGGTGGGTCTAGCATTGAGTCCCAGCTTATCATTTAGGGCATTGTCATCGACGTGTGCTGAAATGTTGTCCTCGGTCAGTCATGGCAGTTGAGGAACAACCGTACGGCGCTACCCATCGTTCTACGAAGCAGTGGTCAACTGTCTCCGCGTAATAGACGTCATGGGAATAGCTTCAAGACATCTTGTGAAACAATGGATGCACATGAGTATGTGATCATACCCGTTCGATGGTAGCAATGGGCCCAAAATTTGTATATGGACGTGTTAGAAGCGAGCGTCAAGCGTAGCGAAAGTGCCAATGGGGGCCTCTACGTGCCTGTACACTTTTGATAGTTGACATTGTAAGCATTGCTTTATCCGCACACGGACATCTTTATTCATGGACGGCCAGACGTATTATGCAGCGATGAGGTGTAATGTAGCTGCGATACCTGGAAGAGACAGTTCATGCAGGGCGTTGAAGGCAAGACGACGATTAGCAGAAGGTACGATGGGTTGGAGAAGATCAGTAAACGTCTCACATAAGATAGTACCTGAGCAAGTAGCTAAGGGACTTCACTGCACTGAAGGGATGTAGAATGTTGTGCTTCTGTGCATGAAAGATCACTTGCTTAGGCGACGGCCATAACAGGGAGGTCAATCACCGGCAAAGTAATTGCATCCACCTGGATACGTGACAGAGCATCGGCAACATAGTTTGAATAGGCTTGAACGTGACGAAGGTCTGTTGCGAACTGAGAGATATGGTCCAAATTTACGCACTTTCGTGATGAATAGCAGTCAGACTCTGCATCCAGAGCATAAGTTAAAGGCTTGTGATCAGTGAATAGTATGAAATTGTGACCTTCTACTGCGTGTCGGAAATGTTTGATGGCACAGTAGGCTGCTAGCAGTTCTCGAGCAAAAGCACTATATCTCGCCTACGCGGGAACGAGGTGTCGTGAGGAACCTTCGAGAGGTTTCCAACGTCCGCAGATGTTCTGTTGTATAACGGCTCTTATGGAGAAATCCGATGCATCGAAAGCTCTACTAAGCGTGACTGATGGATTAGGAGTGTGGATTGAGCTAGTGCCGTTCTGAGTTTTGAAAAAGCAGTACACGCGGCATCGTTAATTTTCAATTTGCGTGGACTGCAGAGAAGTAAGTCAGTTAATGGTCGCGACTGTTCTGTCGAGTGTGGGATGAAACGTCGGTAAAAGCAAACCAAACGGAGAAATGCCTTCAGTTCTTTGAGTTAGGGCGGTACAGTGAACTCCATTATTGCACGTACTTTGTCTTCATGAGGTAAAATACCCCCTTGCTTGATAATGTGACGTAAGAATTTTATTTCCGGTTTGCCAAGTTCACACCTATCCGAGTTGACTATTATTACGTTATCCGAAATACGTTGGAATAGGAGCATTAGATGCTGATAGTGTCCATCTACATTTGATGATTGGACTATCAGATCATCAATATAGACGCGAATAAAATCTTGGTCTCGTACTATGCTACCGATAAGCCTTTGGAAATTTTGAGCGGCATTCCGTAATCCAAATGGCATTCGTAGGAACTCAGACAGACCGAAAGTAGTCGTGGTGGCGGTTTTCTTGATATCCTCAAGAACAACTAGGATCTGACTATATGCTCGTACCAGACCGATCTTAGAAAACATAGTCGTGTCCTTGAGTGATGTCGTGATGTCATGTGTGCGAGGAATGGGGTAGATACCAAAACGTGTAGCTACGTTCAATGTTCGGTAGTCTCCATATGGTCTCCAACCAACCCAATCCATTTCGCGAACCATATGGATAGGTGAGGCCCAAGGACTGTGAGAAGGACGAAAAATACTAGTAGCCAGTAAATTGTCGAACTCACGTTTGGAAAAAGTTAATTTGTCCGTTGCCAGTCAGTCAGGTTTTGTCATGACTGTGGTCCGTGAGTGACTATG